CTCGCCAGCCAGACGGTTTGCTAGACGGCTGGATGGCCTTTTCTCTTTTGTCCACTTGCGGACTATTGTTCCTCCTTTTGTTCCTTGCTTACCTTGTTGACCAAGTTTGCTGATATTAACTATTTGTTTCTTTCCTCATTCATTAATATTGCGCTTGATCCGCCACTCCTTCCAGGCCAGTCCTATTTAGTTACTTGTGTTTATAACGTGTGTAGGTTACACCAGATGTACCTCAGTTCGTATATCGACTTGGATTCCCCCTCTAGACTCCTCTCTTCATCGTAAGGCTCCTGTCTGAAATTGGGACCCTGTCAGGGGACGGAACCCGGGTCACCATGACCCCTCTCTATGACCCACAGGCTAACCTGTAACAGCAGCCCATCCCAGGGCATAACACTACTGTGGGTAAGAAAGTGTATAGCTAAATAGAAAGTAGGCTACACTTGCCTACTGTGGGTAAGAAAGTGAGAAGAAGGTTAACTTCTCACCTTCCCACAGTGGCCCCAATATGGCGAAAACTTCTGGGGATACCCAGAAGTCACATGAGGTGGGATCCGGGGTCGGATCATGCGGCGCGCAGAACGTGCGGTGCAGGAAGTGCGCGGGAAGTGGAGCAGGTCCGGACGCTGCAAGAGAGCTAGCGGCTCTCTATGCCGACTAAGCTCGTGGGGCCAAACTCTCCTAAACTCTCTACTTTCTCTCTAAACTTCGCTTGACTCTCGATCCTTAAACTCCGTGTGGGTTCTCCGGGATTTCCGCAAGGTCCGGGCTCAGCGTCCACTACTCACTCGTTGTGAGCTAGACAGCTGCCCTTATTCCTACTGTTGGAATTCCACACACTCACACCCTCTCTAGCGCGTCCTAGCACCTTAGAGAATTTGGGGGAGGGGAGAACTTCTTTTCCAAAATCCGGTATGTACAGGATATAAGGAATAATTATTTTTAGAAATAATAGATGGCAAATATTGGTGCCATATGGCACCTGGGTACCTTATTAGGCAAAATAATAAAAAGAGTAACAGTAACAATAAAAGAATATCAATCAATATCTGAAATGATGGCAAAATATGAAAATATAAGAAAATAAGCGATATCTCAACGGATTTACGGAATTAAGAGCCGAAATTGGGCATGAAGCCGGAGATAACTCTCACGCAGCCGATGAGCATTTTCACCAATTTATTAGACGCCGTGGGAACGAGTGAGGCTGGAATTCTGGGTTGCCGCTTGAGATTCCCACGCCCGCACATACTCGTGACCTGCTGTGCCTAACTCCTCCAACACGGAACTCCGTCAAATCTCCACCGATTGGGACGTTCTTGATATCGTCGGAATCGTACGAATTAGTACTATTTTTAGATACCGAATCCGTATCGAGTTGTCGCGTGAATGAAAGTTGTTTTCTGATCGTGGAAGTGGGTATCCGAGCCGAGTCTGTGCATGGGCGATTATCCCGCCTACAACGCGGGTCCGGGTCCGGGCTAAGTCAGGGTATGTGCCCTGACAGACCCCAACATAAGAACGAAGCACAGCGCTCCACCCGAGTCGCTGAAGCTAAAGTCCCTCCCCTCCGACCTTACGAGTCCAGATGACTTCACATGCCTTGCAGGTCACCCAGATACGCATCTGGCATGTTCCTGACACTATGGTACATCTGAAAGGAGGTAAGGAGGGTGAAGCCCAGAGGGGCAGTGTCAGGGCACACACCCTGACTAGCCCAGACCCAGACCTGCATGTGCACTTCCACCCTGCACGCTCCATGCACCACATGCTCTGGGCCCAGTTCCCATTCTTCATGTGACTTCCAGGTATCCCCAGAAGTTTTCGCCATATTGGGGCCACTGTGGGAAAGTGAGAAGTTAACCTTCTTCTCACTTTCTTACCCACAGTAGCATTGTGCCCTGAGATGGGCTGTTACAGGTCAGGTTGTGGGTTATAGAGAGAGGGGTCATGGGGACCTGGGGTCATCCCCTGACAGGCAGGAGGGTGAGGTGAAGTGGGGTTGATGACTAACTGGCTAAATGTAAAGAAGCAGTAGTCCAAATAGGGGTGAGGGAGAAGTGTGAGATATACAATACTGATGGCAAAAGGTGCTGAGGTAGGTCCATGAGGCTCAGAGGTAATGGAGCTTATGGAGGCGGGGTTGAAAGTCTGAGGAATATTGGCAATGGTGTTTATGTAAAATGAGGTCACCAATAGCTGAGGTGGAGTCAAAGTCTGAGGTCAGGAGCATGATGGGATCTCAGAGTGGAGGTACGAGTGGTGTCTGAGTACAGGGTACAGGATGGCAGCAGGAGGTCATACCTTAGCAGAGGTTAGTCAGGAGAGAGGAGGTGGTGTTGGGTCCAAAGGTGGAGATTGGAGTGGATGGGGATAGGGTAGGACTCCAGAGGTGGTGAAGAGGAGGGTCTGGAAGCCGAGTTAGGATTGGGTATGCATGGATATGACACCTATCAGATGTACTGATCCTCCAAGTCCTTCTGTCATGAGATTTCAGGATGGTGAAGGGCCACTCTCCCAGGTCATGGAGCAAGAGAAATCTCCTGTCCTGGGTTGGAGGTGAAGGCTTCTTTTTGACTTGCACAACTCTGATTGTGATCTCCTACTGAGTAAGAAAAGAGTGTCTAACTTAAGAGACCACCAACTCCTGGAGAAGATGTGTCCTAGCATCACATTCAGAGGCACATGGTGACCTAGCTGAAGACATGGATACATGGGGATGCTAGTCTGAAAGGGTATGGGGTAGTATAAAGTTGTAGGCCTTGGGGGAAACAAAACTGTCAGGGCAATAGCCCTGAACCCTGAGTCTTATGCAACAAAGGTGTACTTAAAGTCACATGGTTAAGCGGCAACTTCCAGTTACCACTTAACACTACCATAAAATACACACCATTGTAACACTTACAGACTAGTGTGCCGAGCGACCCACAAGACCTCACAAAAACCCACCCCACCCAAGACCCAAACACCTAATACAACCACCAAACAGTTAGTTACTATATTGGGTCATAATATATCCTTTATATATACATTATATAAGTTTATATTTGTCTTTGGTGCATGCTTATTAAGCTTTCCATTGCTTATTTAAGTGTGTTGGGATGTTTCCCTTAAAAACATCCCACTGTCCCTGTGCACAGACTGTCCTCAGAAAATATAAATACCTTAAGGGCAAAAAGCTGATGAGTCTCAGACAAAAGTACATGAATCTCCTGTGGGATAAGGTCCTCCCTTTTGCTCTGTGCCCCTCATCTTCTAAAATACTCGATTACTAAAAACACATGATTTGTCTTCAACAACCCAACCCAACCCAACCCATTTCCCAATCTATCTACTCATTATATCCCACTCCAGAAGACCCCACATTTTTCCATCCTGTCACAGCCATGCATTCTGTTAGAACCAGGCAGATTCGGACGACTCTGGAGTGGAATCAGTGACTCAGGTGGAGCGCTGTGCCATTGCTGGTTGTCCTGGGGGTCCCTAATTTCGGATCTAGCAGAGGGGAAGTCTCTTGGGGGGAATTCAGGTTGATTTCGGACTGAGGTTACAAGTTACTATGTACATTGTATATAAGGAGGGTCCGGAATCAAAAGGAGCGAGGGTACTCCGAAAGGAGACAAAGGGAGCTGGAAAGAGGAACAACACCGAGGGTCAAGGGTTTGACTCAATGGTGTTTCTCAAAGGAGGAATGAAGGGCCAAGACCCAAGGAGGAAGGAAGGAGGATGGGAGTGGGGAATGGCCAGCTGACTGAATAGAAAGGAAGCAGCAGCCCAAATAGGAATGAGGGAGTATAGCGGAATTGAATGGAGCAATGCAATAGTTGCAAGGTCCGACATAAGTCCGGAAAGTCCGAACTCGGAAGTTAAACTCCAGAATATTGGCAAACATAATTAAATGGAATGAGCTAACCAATACAATGGGTATAAGCGGAGGTGGGGTCAAAGTCCAAGGTCGGAGCTAAGACCGGAGGTTCTGGAGACGGAGATGTGAATGGGATTCCAGAGTCGGGAGCATAGGTTTTGCGTACTCGTCTGGAAGGTGTCGAGGTTGGGGTCGGACCCGGAATGTTCTGGAGTCGGACCGAAGGTGGTGTCCAAGCCAGAGGTGGGATAACCTCTTGGGAGTCGGCAAGGAGAAGGTGATGGAAGGGAAGTAGGGCTCCAGAAGTCAGAGTTCGGAGTTCCGGGAGCCCAGAGCAGAGGTCGGGATTGTATGGATATGACACATTCCAGCCACCAGCCACCTGTCCCAATGCTGCCCAAGCCCATTCCCGCTGCGCAAGTGTGAGTGCAAGCCCTGACCTCATCCCTATCTTCCCTGAGGACTCCCTGCTCACCCCCCCACTTGCCCCTAGGCTCCCCTACACTTAGCTAACTCCCCCACAACCACACCAACCTCCCCACCCTGAATCCACCTCTGGCACTGTGCCTAGCATGACTCCATGACATTGCCTACTCCACCTGCTTGGCCCTCACCAGGCCACTACCATTCCCATGCCAGACTCCAGCCCAACTCTGAGTCCAGCACCGCTACCATTACCATCGCTGCTATCACAACCTATGCTCCTTTGTTTATTATCTGTTATTGTTTGTTTTGACCCACAGTCATTGCCAGCCATTATGTGGCCAACCCTGCTCTTTACTTCTGTTTATAAAGCAAAAAAGATAGGCTGTCCTAAGAATAGTTAATCTTGAGTTTCAACAAGACTGGGTCCATTATTTCATAAAATAGTGGGAAAACTACTTGCCTTGGATATAAAAGGCTCCATTACATTCTAGAGCATTGTAGCTTTCTGTTGCATATTTTATCATATTTCTAAGATAACTACAAAGTATGATAAATCTGATTTCCACCCAAAATCAACCAAGATTAATAGGATTTCAGATGTGGGAATAGGAGCAAGGGTCTCCTCTTTCTACCTGAAACTTCAGCCCAGGACAATTACTATCTTTGACAACCCAACCCCACATTGCTCTGAACCCTGGACTTTTTCCATATGCCCTCTGGAGAGACTTCCATGAAAAGGTATGTTGTAGTACTGTGAGGTTAGGAATGAGATTCAATTTTTGTGCAGTATCCCAACAAATCACCAGCTACCTACTCTCATCACCACCAAAAATTCCATGACAATTTTTCCCAAACAGTAAGCAAGTACCTCAGGGAATGTAGAAACCTTCCAGTGAGACTGGAGGTGACACTGACAAGGAGGCCAGAGGGTTGCTCCAAGGAGCACCCAGCTTTCTCAAATGATGAATGGGCTGCAGCAGTATGATGGGTTCTGACCAGGGAGGCCCCATCAAGTGTGGATGAAAATGTGGAGAGTTGGCAAGAATTTAGCATGGAGGTATGCATGGATGGCTGGTAAGCTGCAAATGAACCCTGACACAACCACAGAATCCATCCCATAATGAACTTGAGTGGATTGGGCTCTACTATCCACAATATGACCTCTTCCAGGACATAGAACATCAAGTCCATTGTTCAAGGTACTTGCATTGAAGGGATTTCTGGTACCATCACCCCAACATGCACTGTGGGAAGCCCCTCACTGTTCACCTCACTATTCTTCCCCTGCCATCTCCCCACCATCTACATCAAGTATACTTCTATCTCTCTGAGACCCACTCATGCTTGGGACCTATGACCCCTGCAACGGCTTTCCCCTGTATTTATGCACTGAGAAAAGTAAATCCATGGTAATATTGCATCTGCCACATGACAGAGGTTTTACCATAAAACATGATTTTCTCCTGGCCTGGTACATGTGATGAGTCCCACCTTTTTCACGAATTTGACCAAAATCCTGTCATGAAATCCTGACTTGCAGGAGGATCTAATCAGTTTCTCCTGTGAAAATTCACAATATATTTGGGACCAATTCTGCTTCACACTGAGATCTAATCAGTTCTGAACAACGTAGTGGACATGGCCCATGTTGGGCCATGGAGAATGCTGATTTGCAGGATACAAAGGGCAAGGGTGAGCTGCAGACCAAGTACAGTTTAAGAAAGCAGGAAAAATTTAACAGCCAAAGGAGGAGTTGGGGGGGTGGAGGGTGGTGGAGGGTAGACAACAAAAAGCAGCATGGACAGGAGCTAAGGACAAATAATGGTGAACAAGGGGTTAAAAGGGAAACAGTGACAAATGAAATATAAAGCAATAACCACATGATAAACCAGAGGTAAATGGCAAGTGAGCATGAGTTAGAAGCTCTGCTGCATGTCAGGGATGGTGCAGGAGGTGGGGGTAGCCGTATAGCACCCAGCACTAGCAGCCTGGGTGGCAGCAGAGTGGTGGGAGTGTATAGTGGACAGCCCTCACTTGGGCTTGCATCCCTGTGTGGCTTCTCAGACTGAAGCAGGAATGAGAAGAAGGCTGCTTCTTTGGTTCTGCTTTGGCTCATTTTATATGCAAGTGGGAACAGGTCATGTTACAGGAATGGGTTCCAGGGAACCCAACCTGAGCCATTATGCTCATGGGCAGAGGTGGCTGTGTAACCATCAGAGGGAGAGTAGAAAGTGAAGGGTGTCTGAAAGTATAACCTGTAGGTTGGCCAACAGTAACTTGGCACTCCTGCGAGCTTACTGGTAGTGGTCAGCTAGCAGTGACTTGGCACTCAATGGAGCATACCAGTAGTGCGTAATTCTGGTCATCCAGTTGGTGGCTATCAGTGACTTGGTGCTCATGGGAGCATACCAGTAGCAGGGGTTGTTGGGATATGTGGGTTGGTGGACCGGCACACAGTAATGGGTGACCATGGGAAGTTGGACCCATGGGTGCATGGCCAGGCCTCCTGGGGGAACATGGCTGGTTGCCATCACCATTGACAACCTCAACTGATTTGTCAGGGCCATCACCAGGCCCTGGAGCTTCACCTGCTCAGGGGAACCAGGTGTGAACTGATTAGGTTCTACTGGTGTGTTGGGTGGGTCCTCCTCAGGGAGGAGGCATGACCACAGCAGGTACATAAGATCAACATTCCTTGATCATGAAACAAAGGTAACCATAAATCATGGACATTTGCACCCAACCCTGTTGAGAACCACCCTGGGACTGCTTTGCAAACTGCTGTGCATTGTGCTGCCTAATGCAAACTACCTGTCAGGGTTCAGCACCCTGCCTTAGGGTGCCCCAGACTCCCCACCTACTTTACTCCCTTCTGTTCTTTGATTGTTGCCTTGTTGTTGTCTTTGTGTGTTGTGTGCACACATGCATGGGATAGTGTGGGAACTTTCTGAGCGAGCAGCTCACCCAGAATGTTCCCACGCTTACTGGGCACTGCCACCTGGATGTTCCCTCTGGGTCACAATACACAACTCTAGGAGCTGTATAGTTGTGGGCATGTGACCCATTCCTTTATATAGCAACCATGTGGGGAGATGAGACCTTTACCCTTCTTCTTATCTTATGCCCTGCATAGGCAAATGTACATTCTCTTCCTTTTACTATACATCTCATGCCCTGCATAGTGTGAGGACAGGCCAGATGGGGGTTGAGGTCAGGGAGCCTCCAAGTCTGAGGCCGGGCCCTGACACTAGCCCCAGTTTCTCGCATGGGCCCCCACCACCCCTAGCCAACATGCTAACCCTCACTTTGCTGTGCACTGTGTCAGCTGACTCAGACTTTCTGGAATTTGATGGTGCTGTTATGTCTTCTGGTGTTAGAACCGGGCGGATACAGATGACTCCGGAGCGGAACCGGAGACTTAGCGTGGAGGGACCTTGGCCTCAGCGACTCAAGCGGAGCGCTGTGCCATTGCTGTTTGTCCATTTGGTCCTTAATTTCACAGTAGGTGAGCAGGAAGTCTCTAGGGGGCATTTCAGGTCGATTTCGGACTGAACCAAAACGAGTATGTACAAGCGCCGATATATGTAATGGAGGGGGCAAAAGCACAAGGAAACAAAGGGAAACCGAATCGGAACGAAGACGTCCGAACAGGAACAAAGGGTAAACAGAAGTGGAGCGGTACCGAAGGTCACAAGGCAGGACCTGTGATACATCCGAAAGGAGGTAGGGAGGGCAAGGCCCAGAGGGGCAGGAGGATGAGGAGAAGTGGGGATGATGACTAACTGGCTAGAATGGGAAGAAGCAGTAGTCCAAATAGGGATGAGGGGAAAACGCGAGAGATACATTACAAGCAGCGAAAGTGCCGAAGGCGATCCACGAAGCTCGGAGGTTGCGGAGGTTACAGAGGTTACGGAGGCGGGGTTGAAAGTCCAAGGGATATTGGCAATGGTGTTTACGTAGTATGAGGTCACCAATGCAATGGACTAAGACCGAGGTGGAGTCAAAGTCTGAGGTAGGGACTATGATGGAGACTCAGAGCAAAGGTACGAGCGGTGTCCGAGTACAAAGTACGGGACAGCGGTGGAAGGTCGTAACTTGGTGGGAGGCCGGTGGAGGAGTACCAGTGGGAGGAGAGAGGAGAAAGGTAAGGGAGAAGGAGTGGCGGAAAGGAGAGTTGTCAGGTCCGAAGGTGAGTATCGGAGCGGACAGGGGAAGCGTAGGAGGGTGACAGGAGGGTGGAGGTTGGGTGAAGGAGGAGCAGAGTAGGAGGAGGGGAAGTAGTAGGAGGGTGGCGAGAGGGGCGGTGTTTGGTCCGAGGTGAGTATCGGAGCGGACGGAGATAGGGGAGGAGAGGGAAGGAGGAGTAGAGGTGGTGTGGGGGGTAGAAGGAGGTGTGTTGCCAGGACCGAAGGTGAGTATCGGAACGGCAGCGGTAGGGTATGACTCTGGAGGTGAAGAGGGTGGAGGTCTGGAAGTTGGGTCAGGGTCGGGTATGCACGGATATGACATCTGGCCACAATCTCACCCAACACTCGCATGTCTTCTTGGGTGCAAACCACAATGCAAACTGCAATGTCATCTTTGGATTGGGTCCCTGGCCCAATGGATAGTCTAAGACAGTCTCTGAGTGTCTATGATCAGCCAGATGTTGCATCACCACACAACCAAATAGCTAGTCAACTCTTGGCCCAATGTGATACAGATCTATGGGAGTGGAATGACCATATTGCACATATGACACACACAGGCAAACAAACAGATAGTTGGGAATAATGGACTTGACAACAGAGTTCTGTTATTCATCTTTTAATGCCAGAAAATTGGCTTTGGCAATGATACTGGGTGTTATTGTCACAGACTGTTCCTGGAAGCCATCCAAGTGCTTCCAAGGCAGGTGTCATGTGGAGCTCAGGGTTCTGGGCTGTCTGATGGTAGGGTGGAGGCCAGCCAGAGATGGGGTGGAGCTCCAGGGGTGATGAGGGTGTTGAAGGGACTTGGCTTCAGTGACTTGGAGCGGAGTGCTGCACCCATTATGTTACTGCATCCCCAATTTGTCAGGGGGGTTGGCAATGAAGGAACTGGGTCACCAGGGAGGAGGGGCCAACTGGCCACACTTTACTACTTAATGGCAGAGGCATTAGCAAGGGTCAATCACTTGTCATGCGATTCATTGGTTATCATACCAAGTGCCTTAAGTGCATGTGTCACTCAGGACTGGTTTGGCATTGATGAGAGTGACTTAGGCGGGCTGGAAGATGGGGGGGTCAATGGACTTAATATTATATCTGGTTCTATTCACTAGGAGGTTTACAAGAGTATATTTGAGTCTGATGGTAAACAAACATTACCAAGGGGAAGTGGAAGTGAATAATCAATGACTCCACAGGACAAATGGGTTTTAGGTGAACAAGTAAATAACAGAGGTTAAGTTTGTTCATAAGCAAGCAGGGGTACCATGAGGAAAATGTCTGGAAATGTCTGAAACTCTGAAGTTGTACTCCAGGATATTGGGTGCAGGGAAATATAATATTAGGAGTAATTAAAGAATATGATGAGTGGAGGTAGGGTAGTGCCATGCACTCTAGCTTAGGTGGATAAGGGTTCTTTGCTTGTGCATGTTCTTCTACTATTTTGGTTTTTGCAGTAAAGCTATCCTCAACAGTGTCCATTAACATGGACTCCAAAAATGGAAATATTGGGCAGGAAATGTCGGTGTGCAAGATATATATATCATCTCCAGGACAATTAGCAGTCCACAGTGTACAAATCAAGGGCCTTCAACACTCCCATCGCTCCCAGAGAGGAAGGCAACCACCTTGGACATTGGTGGATGGTCCACAATATTTATTGAACAACAAGAGGACAGCAGTTGCTGAAGGGGCACCTTGGACCAGGTGCAAGGAGGATGGAGTTTGGCTGTCCTCATGACTGTCAAATCATTATTTATCCAGTAATAAGGAGGGTGGTGAAAGAGGATCTTTTTGACCCAATACTAAGTCCCAATCACCCTAATCATTTGGGCACTCCCACTCACTTGTACACATGTACACCCAAAAGCATAACCATTGCTATTGATGGTAGGGTGCTGCTTTCCCAAAATAATTCCAGTGCAGTGAACTGAACTGAACCTCCTAAAATGGAGGTTGTTTGCCCTGTCAGAAGACCATCAAGGATACCAGATACTCCAATGCTGCACAACTGTGCTTGATGTGAACCATTGATTAGGATGTTGGACTAGCCAACTCTGGTCAGGAGTGTCTGTGCAAGCAATTTCTCAGTCTGACACATACTGGATTAAGATCTGCATGGATGATAGTAGGATTGTGTCTGTGGAGGTACAGCAGTCCCTAAGCTCCAACTGATATCTGTATTTATGCTGGAGGATCAACCAAAGCATGAGATTGATTCTATTGAAACACTCACCAGCATCCCACAATCAGCAGCAGGATTCTGGGCCAAATATTGGACAACAGGGCTGTTTATGCACCAATGTGACACCAGAGCAGCAGAACCTGCCACATTACTGATGAAACACAATGTTGGGATGTTTAAGGTCTTCCAGATCCTCACTTCTCTGATTAGGTGCTGGAAAACAGTGATGCCAATAAGGATAATGGATCATGACTCCCAAAGAGATAAATAAGGCATCACCTTTATGACTTTCCTGGTGTTCTCAAGTGTATTCCTGAGATGGTCAATTGAACTAAGTGGTTTATAGCATACTTAGAGAAATCATGGATTGAGTCAGCCAGGAGTGATATATAATGGCAACATACAGGGATTTCAGCTCCAGTGCAAGGACCCCAGCATGCACAGAATGCATCTGAGTGCCCCCCTCTAACATTGGGGTTGTAATACATATCCTCAA